GAGCCCTTCACATCCATACAGAGGACATCTACTCTAGCCTGCCCAGCAGAGTCAGAAAAAGAGGTGAAACATTGAGCTTTTCTTGGCTACAGATTCCAGATTGGAGGATAGCTGTTTCTTCTCCATAAAGTTCAATTTCACATTAATTTTATTGCAGACACAACTATTGAACCAATGTCTTTGTGGGACCTAAAGGTTCTGGTTTTATCCTTAAAGCATAAGTTTTGTGTCTGCTAAGCTTTTTTTTTTTTTTTTTACAGCACTGGTTGCTTTTTCTACAAACAAATTACAGGAGCAGCTTCCAAAGTGTCCTATAAAGGTGGCTCCCCTGCTGTGTCTAGCTTTACATAGGCTTATCCTGTTTAAGATGCAAAGAGAAGCTAATGTGCTGCCTAGACTGCTGTCCAAGTAGCCATTTAACACTTCACAGGTTGTTATTGTTAAAGTGGAATGCTGCATTTTAACCTCTTTTACTTTCTGTTTTTAGAAGTGGCAGATTCGAAATGCACTAACGACAAGACAGTTTGGCAAGAGCGATATGTGCTTAACGACAGAGGTACATATAATCACCATCATTAACAACAGAATAAGGGGTTGTCTCTATGTAAATCATTCAAATCTTTAAAATTTAAGAATATTGAGATTTCACAAACTAAAAAAAACATTCATTGATTTATACAATGATGTTATACAATAAATGTTGCTGTTTCTTAGTTATTCTGTAATTATTCTGTAATTATTTAAGTAATTCTGCTATAGTTTAGACAATTCATGACATGCTTTCCAGGAAATTGGACTTATTTATTTCAAAAACATGCACAGTCTTCCTTGCAATCCCTCTCAGGAGGAATCGTGCGGATTTAGTTGCATGAAGTTCATAAAATACAATCACAAACATGAATAGTCAGCAACATCTGACAATTTCAAGGCAAATGAACAGTGTAATCCATAGGGTGTCACTGACTTGATGGCAGAAAAGCTCACAAATGCACTGCTGTTAATGGTTGAGTTATTCTGTTGATTTATCAGTATATGTGACTAAATATGACTAAACACTAAAAACTGACTTTCAATCCAACAATGGCACTAACTAAGGGGCAATTTGAAAATAAATGCGATACTGGTAATCACTTGTGAAATATATTTAATGATAATATGTAAGTAATGACTCAAAAAAGCCCTATATGTGTCATTTTCTTCCTTATCTTGCCTGCATGGCATTTTAAAAATTATTATAGTTTTACAGTTTGTGTGAGTGTGTGTCAGGGTCCCTCTGTACCCCCTCGCTGATCCCAAGATAAGCCCCTTAAGCTCAACTAAGCTGTGGACTTTAGCAAACGCAGTTGTCTGTTGAACCTTTTAACCCCTAGCATCAGAATGCCGGCCCCATCACTGCTTTTTACTTCCACCATTCACCATTCCATCACACTGAGAGCTCGAGCTTTGTGAGGGCAGTTAAGCTCATGTATAAAGCAGCTTCCTCTGTCCTGCATTCCTTTGAACAGTCAGAGCTGCATCCACTGGGTCAAAGGTATGTCAGCAGGGAAATGGGTCATCGGAGATGCCGTGAAACACTGACTCCTGATCATAAGTCATACCAAGGAGCTTGTTTAGCTTGTGAGCGAGACAACTTTATGTACACAGAGCAGATTTAGGACTCTTGACTTTGCCATTCAGAATATCACCTATTATTTTAGTTTGCTTGTGGTATTTAGTTTTTTTTTGGATCATCTAATTTATTAAGCAGGTATGAGCCACTGCAGACTGATCAGATAATTGTATAGTTGATGACTTTATTCTCTCCTCCTGCAGGACCAATGTTCTTCCTGAGCTGCTTCGGTTTTGTAGTTGGAATTGCAGTACTCTACTATTACGGAGGTGAGTCGTGGCACAAAAAGTGAGAGGGACACAGACTTGAGACTTACTTTACTTACTTTAATCGTGTTCAACATTTCAAAACATACCCTCGATACACACAAAACTCAGTTTTTTTGCTCTTCTTTATAGACACAGAGGGTGAAACCTTGAGATGCACTGGAGTGTTTCTTCACTGCTCTGCTGTAAGACTGAGTAAAGATGCTAGAGATGTTTTCATTTCATATGGAGAAGTTGGAAAGTAGAAAAAATGAAAACATCAAGGCAATGAGAAGAAGAAGCCATGAAAAATGTCTTTTTTCTGTGCCAAACTCATCATTTTCCTAAACTCACATACTAATTTATGTACGAAAGTACTAATTGGAGGAATGTAACTTGACCTGACACATTCTGTCACAAATTCTCACAGCGTACATCTGAAATGGCAGAACTATGCAACGTTCTTCCAGAGTACTTGTATGTATGACTCTTGCCTGGATTTCATGTTTGTAGATAGCTATGAGTTTCTTTTTTTTTTTTTTAAACTAAAATGCTTAAAGCGTAATAATAACCAAGTGTAACTGTGCAGCTGCACTCCCACAAAGCTGTTTTCACTTACTAAAGACTGAGTCGGTTGTTTGGGTGCAACAAACCCAAGAGTGGGCAATGAAGTGTATTTTGAGGAGAGCTTCAAGTAGGAGCACCTGTGTGGGTAGGCTCTTGGTTTGCACTTAATTTAACAACTTGAATTTTTCATTGCTCCGTTTGTTAACGCATTTCACAACAAAGATTTTCTTTTTTTAAAAATACACAACAAATACATGTATGATCACACCTTAGCCCACTTCCAGTGCCTTCTATAAAATTTGCAAAATAAAGGGCACTCTAATAGTGTTACTTATTTTCAAATAAAGTACAGCAAATTTGGATCGCCTGTGTTTGCATGTTATTTTTAGTCTAGTGTAACAAATATTCGACAAAGGTCTTTGTAGAAATGGGAACATCATTAATTAAATGCTGTATATGTTGCCATAGTGTAGCAACAAAGGGGAATTAAAGGTAATTAGCAGTGCATTGATTAGCTTTTCCGGGTTAGTTTCTGGCACTGTTCACTGCACTGTCATCATGAAATGGAGATTATGTTAAATTATTCATCTAATTGATTCAACAGCAGCAACACATACACTAGAGGGCACTACTTCCTCACTCATACACACACAAAAAAACAGAAAAATATTCAAGTGTGCTATAACAATGACAATGGGAAGCAGGGATCAGACCTCATTAATGAATAATGGCAATCAATTTGGTTGAATGAGTTAAGCTAACTTGATTAAATGCTCTATTAAATGCTGCTAGCTAGAATGCCTTTGAAATACCCTGATGGGTGCATTTGAATGCTCTCTGTTTCTTGTAATAAACGATGTGCAGGAAAGTAGTAACATCAGAGATAAGGTCTGCATCACAGCAGCGGAGCAGAGGTGTCTGATCTCAGGAGATTATCTGCACTCGGCAGCATTTTTCAGCTACTGTCTTCCCTGCGAAGTGAGAGCAACAGATGAGAGGGGAGTCAAAGAGAGAGGGAGGAGGAATTGGGAGGTGCTGAAGGGGGCTGGAAATGTCACCAGAGTGATTGTTCAGTTCACACTCTGGCATCCACATTCCCACGAGAGAGCTATTAATACGCTCGCTTCAAAGGAACTAAAAGTCCTCGTTGATCATCAGCATCCTCTGATGCGCAGCCCCCACAGAGTCACTTTGTTAAACTTCAAGACAGAGTGGTAGGAGCCATGGATATACATTATGTATATATGTCAATCTACAGATCTCCTCCAAGTGAAGCTGTGTGTATCATCAAATCTGGCTCTCAGTGTGGCTGTTTCCACGGTTACCAATGATAGTTGTAGGGGAGGAAAAGGATGAGATTGCGACGTTTTGCCATCTGAAAGGTGCTTCTTCACAACCACCTTGGAGAAATTATAGATAGCTGCATGAATGCGATTAAGGTTTTTAGCTGATAATTATGTGAAACAGCCTCAAATTTCCTTTACTGGATATTTATGTCAAACCACTCAAGTGTATAAAATGAGCATTTGCTTGTGCTCTAATTGGGGTTTCAGTGGCATTGCTGCCTAATTAAGGCTTCTGTTTTAACAAGTAGTTCTGCCGGGGTCTGTGCTCTGTTGACTCTGACTCACCAGCTACTTCTGGTCCAAAGAATCACAAACAAAGTCCAGCTTTGCTCGTCACAGAGGGATTCATAGCACAACCAAACACTGTTATAACTGAATGTTAGGCATGACGCCTGTGGGGTAGTAAAGTTAAAGCTGTGGAGGAGGGGAGTAGGTGTTTTGAGGCGGATGAGGCCTGACCTGTGCTGCATACATGTGCTCAGCACACCCGTTAAACCTGATCAAACGTCACTGGTGTAATTAAAAATTAAAGAGTGTTCAGGTGTGTGTGTGAGACTGTGCATCCATGTCTGGCTAGTGCTTCGTGTCACTGTCGGACAGCATAGGAGACAGACAGCATGAGGTCACATGGTCCTGACTGCTGCTGTCTCCACTTTCCTGTTTGTCCATTCAGAACAAATGTTGTGTTGTTTACGTACCAGACCTTTTTGTCGCTACGGCTGTTTCTCTCTTGTTCGCTATTTTCTCTCTGTGCCTGCAGCCATGCGGGACAATGATTTTCTGGTAAATGAACATCTGTGTATTTTGTTTGAGTTGTTTTCTGGTGGAAATTTCTCTGTGAGCCTGGAGAGGTCACTGTGTTTGTAGGTCATGTAGGTGATTGTGAAGGTCCGGTCAGAAGAGGAGTAGAGCAAAAACATGCTGACGACATGAAAGTTTTTAGGAGCAAACTGCAGAGTAAGGCAGGAGAGAAAATACCTGTTTGAAAAGAGAGAGGGGAGCAGTGAAAGACTGTGAAAATAATGCATACACACATACA